TATTCTTTCCTCCTCCTCCATTTAAAAACAATAATATCCTTCATTTTTCTGAACATGAAATTCTTTGTAGCAATATTTACTTCCTCTGTAGAGAAAGATGAAGAAGCTAAACAAATTGAACAATTTTTCCAGTTTTAAATGTGGATGATGCTTGACAAAATGTATAGAGTAAAGGAAGACATCACCTGCTTAAGTATGAAATGGGGCTGCAGTTGTAATATTTCTTTGGGGTCTGGAAAACTGATATCAGATTTAAAATTATAATAAAACATACTCTGAAATTAAAAAATAAATAATAATATACCTGTCTTTTTACACACACACACACAGATATATATATATATATATATATATATATATATATATATATATGTATGTGTGTGATAGCTGCTGATTTATTAAGTATGACTATTTCTAACACATTAAAACAATTATTGCATTTACATGAGTTCCACACTAAATTGTATATGTACCTCACAATACATTTGATTACAATTCTATAGAAAAGAAATTACTATATACAAATAGAAATATTTCACAACAAAATTTAAAATAAATATAAATTATTATATTCCGTATTAGTAAAAAATTAATAAAATGAGTAATATACATACAAGTGACCTATAAATTGTGTGATCTAAAATTACTTTTAAACTTTTCAAGAGATTTACACTTCGGTTTGTAAATATGACAGAAAAAATCTCTTGTTTTGATTGCTTATTGAATTGTACATTATTATTGTAAAATTTCACATCTCTCTTTCACCCTCTTTCTCTCTCTCTCTCTCTCTATATATATATATATATATATATACATATATATATGGTGGTGGGGGTCACCTTGTCTCACAGTATTACCCACTTTTTGCTTTACCAATATGTACATTAAACACTTATTTAGTATGTAAATATTTACTTAGTGAATGATGGTAACATCTATCTCAACAGTTCAAATGAAAAGCTGTTCTTGTCTACATCAACATGAACAAACAGCTGAAAGATCAGACAGCGAGCAAAGACTAAGTGGCTAATGGCAATAGGTGACAAAGTAATGGGCTGACAGTGTTAAGATGACAACTCAAGCATACATTGATTTTTGGAAGCACACATAAAAGAACAGTGTTTTCAATCTTTGGTCAAAACATTCATCTTTGTATACTTAGCACATATTCTGTAATTATAATTTTTAATTATTCTCAACTTAATAATTCATAGAGATACAATCTGTCGGGTCTTTTGAACAGAAGTAGAGGTTTACTCCTTGTTTTGCTGTTTAGAATTGGGTTTCCAATTGCTTCTAAATTTTAATTCAACTCTTTACTTCTAACATCTCCACCTAAACTCTGAAATTTTATTTACTATTTATTTACTGTTTTTTCTTTCCTCAATAGGAATAGAAAGTTTTGAACATCATCCTATTCACACTCCTCCCCAATCTTTTAAACAGGAGTTGAAGTTTATACCTTCTTTTCTATTTGGGTTGGAGTTTCCAGATCATTCTAAAGCCTTTCCCTTCTCTTTCACTTCCAGTAACCCCTTGCATCTTGATGGCATTATCACTGTTCTTGGAATGGTGTCTCTTATTCTGTAGCCCTCTACTTTGAGTGGCTCTTGGGCCTTATACAGGGTGAATATCATTGTAAATGATGTTAATGTGAAATTGTAGACTGAAAGGAAAATAACCTGTACATTAATAATGCAAATATCTCTATAAAGCCATTTATTAGTTTTTAAAATTTACGTAAAACTTATCATATATATTATCCTGTTTCTCAATATTTGTTTCTTTCTTTTACAGGTGAGTACCAAGATGTTTGTAATTTTTGTCTGGTAAGAAACAACATTTCATTTTCTTCAACTTTTGGTCAACAAGTCAGAAAATCAAAAAAGAAATACTTAGTAGCCTTGTGACAAACCTGTTTAGTAAGCAGCAACAGTAATTCCATTCTTTTTTATTATCTTTTAAAGAATAAATGGTAACAGTTCTTAATAAATTCAGTCGGTTAATTGCCATATACACTTGAGCCATTATGTCTCTTTCAATTCATGATTAACTAGACAGATTTGGCATTTCCTTCTGCAATAGACTGGCTGCCAACCAAGACTACAGGACCATTATCCATTATACCATGCAACACATTCTTTAACAAGGTCATCATCATCCGCTTGATTATTGTAATTATGGGGCAGATCCAAATGCAGAAGCCACACTAACTCTTTTCCACAATGGTCTATTAATGACAGCCATCAGCAATTCAGGTACAGTCATACCTGTCCATTTTTTGACATTGTCCAACCAGTTTTTGCATTGGCACCTTCTGCTACATCCACCTTCAATGGTGCCTTGCATGATGGTCTTGCACAGGCTGTTGTGCCTTGTAATGTGTCCAAACCACACCATTTTTCTCTTTTTAACAGTGGCAAGAAAAGCTTCCTGGTGTCCCACAAAACTTTCAACCTTTATTAAAAATATTTGGATCACTCATAAGATATATAAGATATATAAACTATATAATCTTTCTGTAACTTTAGTTATGGTAAATCCTAAATAATAGAGCTAAAGAATTTTGGAGAGCCATGATCACCCATATCCTGAGGGGACATGGCATCTAAAAAGAAATATGATCAAATCATTCAGTGTATATTTTAAGGTATTTATAAGTTGTTATATTTCTGTATATGCTCTTATGTCTTTCTGTTTCAGCCTATGTCTGAAAGTGCTTGTAGACATTTGAAAATATCTTTTGATCTTGTGTTCAGATGTGCTCTTGTGTTGAAGAGTGTAAATGGAATGTGAGGGGAGGGGGCTCTGATGGAGTATCCCTGCATGTGTACATATATATGTAATTGCTTCTGTTCAAAATGTGTATGTTTCTGCATATGGATATGCAGAAGTGTGAAGTCGGTGGATGCATGCACTCCTGAATACGCCTGCCTCTCTCCCTCTCCCCACTCTCTCTCTCTCTCCCACTCAATATATCTTACTATTTGTCGGTTCAGCAAAAACAAAAACTTTCCGCAATGCCTGCATCGGATGATTCATTTGACCCACAACTTCAATGCAGAACAACTATTTGTTTATATTGGAAAGGAAGAAGGGCAGCTACTGATCATTTTATAAGTGCCTCCATGTCAATATATCGGTAGATATACATGGACACTATTTACATATGAGGAGGTGCTGAAAAGTTCTTGGCCTTATTAACAGGGATAAACTACAGTGAAGAAATCTACTGATTATTCCATATATTCAACCCAATGTTCAATGCACTTAGTTAATAATTGCACAACTTTTGTTCAGCACTTCCTCACAAATTCTGATATTTCATAATTGAAATAATGATACTGGAGGAGCAAAAAACTTTTCAACATTCCTTTATAAGTACATAACTACCAAAAATAATACATAAAATAGTACAAATAGTATATATATATATATATATATATATATATATATATATATATTGATAAATATAACAGACAATGAATGTCTATTATGTTTGATCATGAGCCATTTTAAACTCCGCATATTTGCTTTAATTTCATGTGAAAATAAAGACAAAAATTGTCCAACATTTAAATATTTTTTATTAAACTGGTCCTTGATCTAAGCTTTCAGCTTATGAGCCATCTTCAGAGTGGTTATGTGAACATTTAAACAAAGATATTCACCATCAAAGATGATATTCTGTTATGGTGACATAGAATGTTGCTATGCAGTGATAACAGTCACAGAATAGCAGATGCAGGTTCTAAGTTCATGATGTTGCTCTATGATGTTGTATCATGTGAAAAACCAAAATATTAACAAAACAACCATATGTCTAGATGCAATGTAATGTGTTGTGACTACTTTGAAATGTAATTTTGTTGAGTGTAATATATAATAGTAAATGTGTATAATATTTGTAGGGTAGACTTTACCTTTTATCCTTGGTTGTAAACTAGTCTAGGAGAAGGACAACTCTGATTTTAAAACTTGAGGAGATCTTAACATCTTTTGAACCAAACCCTTTATTTAGTCCATGGTGGGTAGATTATTCTAATTCAATGTGCCATGCCTTTTTTCGATATCTCAGTTTCAGTTAATACCTTCTAGTAACTCCACAAAGATACATGGCCTGGTGGATAAAATTACTGGTTGAAGTAATTCAAAAAATGATTTGACTCAAAGAGTTGTGAGTTCAATACCTGGCCACAGCAGAAGGAACCAAAAACTTGAAGAGTTAAGTTTCTAAAGGGAATTAACTGATACTGAGAAATCAAAAAAAGGATATTTGACCCAGATGTAACCAGTGTTGAGAGATATGTCCACATGCAATCTGGATTTTGCATTTGTGCTGACACATTTTCACCACAGATATATATATATATATATATATATATATATATATATATATATAGTTGATTGATGTTCCCTTCATCATCCTGACTCTAGAGTTTCATACCTGGACCAATCCATCTACTCAACAGTGGGTATCAGCAATTAGGGTTATTTCAAGTAAGTATATGCGGGTGTGGATTTTTGTAGATACATGAGGGAGAGATTGTACAGGTGTAGATCCCCCCTTTTGACATCTCCTCCAGATTCCAGGTTAAAGGACCCTTTATTTTGCAACATTGTCTCTTTTCTTGTCAATGCACTTAACTCATAGATTTAACACTGCACCAAAAATTACAGATTAAACTAAGACTTATGTCAGTTTGTGGACTTATTAATTTTTAATTCCTATTTGCTTTCATCTTTATTGATTTTTATTGCAACTGTTATTCAGGCTGTCAATCTACAGCCATAAAGTGCAGAGGATTGGAAATAACAATTAAAATTTATGTCCAATGAAATTAAAATGAATCTAAATACAAGTTAAAAATTAAAAATAATAGTTGACTGTAAGGCACTATATTTTATAACAAAAAAAGTAGGCTTCAACTCTGCATTGAATGTGACATGATTTCTTAGACAAATATCAGTCAATATACTAAAGTATATAAAGAGTATACACTCATGCATATATACAAGGATTTACTTAGATAGATAGATAGATAGATAGATAGATAGATAGATATGAAAGGACTGGGATAGATAGATAGATAGATAGATAGATAGATAGATAGATAGATAGATAGATAGATATGAAAGGACTGGGATAGATAGATAGATAGATAGATAGATAGATAGATAGATAGATAGATAGATAGATAGATAGATATGAATGGACTAAGATAGATAGATAGATAGATAGATAAATATGAATGGACTAAGATAGATAGATAGATAGATATGAATGGACTAGGATAGATAGATAGATAGATAGATAGATAGATAGATAGATAGATAGATAGATAGATATGAATGGACTAGGATAGATAGATGGATAGATAGATAGATAGATAGATAGATAGATAGATAGATAGATATGAATTGACTAAGATAGATTGATATGAATGACTGAGATAAATATGATATGAATGGACTGAGATAGATATGAAAGGATTAGGATAGATAGATAGATAGATAGATAGATAGATAGATAGATATAAAAAGACTGAGATAGTGATATGAATGCACTGAAATACTCATCTTTTTTCAAATTGCCCAGGTCTAGGAATATGTTTAAGGTGTTTAATCATTGTGTTATCCAAGGCCAAGAGAGAAAATATTCAAAGCATTTAGACAGAATAAAATGGCTGAATTCATTCAGCAAGTGTTGCACATCACTCTCAATGCCAGCAAGTCAATTAAGTTTATTGTCATACACCTCAAAGTAGGAAAGTCCACTATCAGTCATTTGATGTACAAAGGCATCAGCTATAAATTTTATGCAATGAAGAGAGGGCATTTCATATCTGACAAAACTCAGAACTGTGTAGTACAAATTTAAGCACCTAAAAGAATCAAGCAGGCTTCGTTTTCGGGGCATAAAGGTGAACACAAGAAACAAGTTGCTCTGACCAGATCGTATAGAGTTACTCATACTGATGCACACCAAATTCATTTCATCAAATACAATCCTGGGTGTCATGAGCAATGAATGTTTGGCCATGATACCCACTTTTTTCCACAGGTTAATGCTATGACCAGTTTAATGTCAAACCCTGGATTGAAGAAGTGACTGAGGGGAGGTTGTATATATCCCAGCAGGATTTTTCTTCTCTCCAACAAGTCTCAAATGCCCCAGTAATAGTTGTCAGGAAGTAACCTCTAGTATAATCTTTTCTTTGTATTATGATTTGTTCTTAATTACTTTGAACACCATATATATATATATATATATATATATATATATATATATATATATATATATATATATATAAAAAATGTGTATATAAATAAATATATATATAATTATTTATATATTTATGTGTGGTACTTATTAAAAAGTGCTCAATATCAGAGATTGTTTACATGTTATTTTTATAGATACAAATATTTAAGTAGATGCTCTGTTTATAATAAACAGTATTAACAACATTTACTGGCCTGAAAGTCTGAAAAATTTCATAAAAAATATATGGCCTCCAGCAGAAATTGAACTTGTCTCGTATACGGAGTTGTCATATAGCTTGACATGCTATACCATTTAGCTACTGTAGCTAAATGGTATAGCACGTCATGAAAATTTCTCAGACATTCAGACTGGAAAATGTTAATAGTGTTTATTATAACCAGAGCATCTACTTAAATATTTGTATCTATAAAAATAACATGTAAACAATAAATATATTAAAATAATTGTCAGACTTAGTCCATTTCATAATATATATATATATATAGATAATATTAGTGGAAAATATACATACATATGCAAAATATATATAAAAAATTCCCATACATGTATATTTTCAGAAAAAAAAAAAAAAAAATTTCAAGAGGAAGAATCAAGGTAGAACTCAATGTCTAGGACAGAGTAAGGATATAATAAAAAGGCTTAAACACTAATATTCCATGGTCATAATTTATTCTATTGGAATCGTAAATACGATCCAAATCATCAGACCTACAAATTCAAAATGAAAACAGAAAAAAACAACTCCGGAATTCAAAACAGAATTTAGAGAAAGTGTAAGTATGAGGAGGAGGGACATGAAACCTATATATATATGTATGTATCTATATTGAGACATGTTTTGTTGAATAATTTAGACATGTCCTGTCTACTTATTTTCAATTGGATCTTTTCAAATTCATGGATAAGCTTTTTGGTGTCGTTATTGAAAGACAAGATAAAATTGCTGTGTTGATACATATTACTTTTATTTTGAGTACTTTTGACATAGCACAATGTCATCATCAGGGTATTGCTTATTGCAAGACAAATTTACTGTATCTAATAGCCATTTGTAATGACTTTTCCCTGACCACTAATGTGTTGTAGAAAACCAACATCATTTATAAATTTAAATGTCCTCTGAAACATCTCTCAATGAAAACAGGCTTCCAAAACATACACATATATATATGTCTGTGCCTGTTTGTTTGTGTCTTATAAATTTAATATTTACATATATACATTTCTCTCTCTCCCTCTCTCTCTCTAAGCAATATATATATATATATATATATATATATAATAAAAAGGCTTAAACACTATGCACCTATGTATATATATTTTGTATATTTTGCATATGTATGTGTATATTTACCACTAATATTATCTCTCTCTCTCTCTCTCTCTCTATATATATATATATATATATATATATATATATTTAGTAAACAATAAAATCCAAATTCACCTCATATAGGGAATAGCCTATTTCAGCAGATGAAGATATCAGTCATCTGTCTTATCAGCCCTGGTGTGGACTGAGATCATGTCAACTGTGAAACTAAAAAAAAATTTTCTCCAACCTTTACTATATATATATATATATATATATATATATATATATATATGAAGAAATATAGTTTTAAAGTGTGCTATATTTATGGGATAAAGTGCTCAATATCAGAGATAGAGCGTATGTAAACATAAATATAAAAGTGAACATTGAAGTCAACACAAGACAATTACGCCGAGCATGAAACAGCCTGTCGCCTCTGAGAATTGACTTCAATGTTCACTTTGATATATATATATATATATATATATATATATATATATATATATATAGCTGGCCACTTGTATTCAAGGATACCCTTCTACTATGACAGCTAGCAAATCCCCATTGCAGACGCTTGCTCAGGCACATTTGTGTTTTTTCAACACCCAAAGAGCCCATTTGTGGTTTATACTGCAACTATGCTGAGCAAACTTTAGTTACAGTTTTCGGGAGAGAGAGCATGTTATCTAGCATGATCAACAGTTTGAACAAGGCCAGCACACTCAAACCTTGAGTCATGATGACATGTGATTTTGTGCTAGCACAGCTATCAACAGCCGCCAAGAGTTCCGTCAACTCAATTTCCCTCACAAGGCTTGGGTCAACCTGTGGTATGGTTTTCAGGCGTTTTCTAAAGGTTCCACATGCTGGGATTGCCTCCTCCAAACTGATAAATATCAACTGTAGTGAGATTCAAACCTGTGTTTCATGGTCAGAAAGTAAACATTCAAACCACTCAGTTACACACCCATATATATATATATATATATATATATATATATATATATATATATATATATATATTATTTATAGTTCTCACTCTCTCTATATATATATACACATTTCTCACACTCTCTCTCTATATATATATATATAATATATGTGTGTGTGTGTGTGCAGTTGGTGCATGTTGAAATCACTTTGGGACATTATAAGACTATCCCTAGTTAGAGTAAAAGCTGTGGCAACAATATTTTGGACATGTAAATGATGGATGTAAGAAAATGGAAGCCAATTTCAATAAGGTAATACTTTATATTTTTGTTTTTATAAAATGAGTAAAAAGAGAGAAAAAATATGTGAGTATGAATTTGAAAGAAAGAAGACATTAAGTGTGAGGAATTGTTTGGTGGATACATGCACATGTGTGTGTGTGTGTGTGTGTGTGTGTGTGTGTGTGTGTGTGTGTGTGTGTGTGTGTGTGAAAGAGTTCATTCACTAAGAGGAAAGGGAAAAATATCCCCAGTTAGTGTTGTCTCACCAGTATGCTAGGGAAGTGTCCTGTTTCTTCAGTTATTGGACAGCAGCACCTAATGCCTTCTTGGCAAAACTGTCAAAATTACATGTGGATAACCGCAATATATGTACATTACAGTTCAAAAGTTTTAAGCCAACCCAGGTAATTTTTTGAATTGGCCCAAATAGTAGTTGTTTTGTATTTTAAATAAGAGAAAATTATTATACATGGTTAAAAAGATGGATATGATTTTTTATTAGAAATTTTATTGTGAAAAGAAGCATTTTATTATTAAGTTTTCTTATCGTAAAAATATCCTCTTTTAGCCTTGATTAATGCAGCACAAAGTTTTAGCATTTGTTGCAAAAGTTTCTCAAAGTTTAAGTTTGATAATTGATTCCATTCTTTTTTCAATGATTCTAAGAGCTCTTTTTCATTTTTCTGTCAAATTCATTCCATGCTAATTCTGGGGGTGGCTTCAAACTTTTGAAGAACTGTAGTGTGTGGGTGTATATATATATATATATATATATATATATATATATATATATATGTGTGTGTGTGTGTGTGTGTGTGTGTGTGTGTGTGTGGTAAGCCAAATAAATCTTCATTGTTCTTCATAATTATAATATATTTATAAAATTACTTTATATCTTATTTAATATCATGAACAAAAAGTGAAATATTTTGACTTACAAAAATATATATTAATTATTTAGTTTATTGTTAATAATGAAGTAAACAAAATGAATTATGGTTACACCCAAAACAATTTTTCTACAATTTTGAAAATACATCCTTATCTATAAAAATGTTACGTTACATATTTTACAATCGATAAATAAGAAAAGAATAAAATTATCAGCAAATGTTGTTAAAATGTTTGTATGATAAATGATAGGGAAAGAAATCTATGCAACTGAACCAGTAGTCAAAGATAAACAAAGCAAAGATTACGACTTAAAATGCTTTTCCTAAAATTTAAAATATTATAAAAAAGACAAATGTTATGCTTCAATATTAAAAACAGAGTAGAATTATTCATGCCAATGTAATTTAACAAAAAATGTTCTTAATATAATAACTGTTAATGATAATATACATTCTTAATAAAGCAAACTTACTAAAATACCTTTTTAAAATTAAACAACTGATGAATACCTCAACTTATCTTAAAATATAATCAAATATGTATTTTAATTAAAGATTATAAATGCAAAATAATATAGTAAAAATGATAATATAATAAACAAAGAAAAATATAAAAATATATGAATAATTAAAATAAACAGATAGAATAGACTTTACTTTTAAAATACAACATTGCTTTATTCAAACAATGAAAAACACAGCATTTTTTTGTTTTTTTACTATTGATTCAGAATAGTCAATTTCTTTGCTTATTATTTATTTTTCAAATATATTTAACTAATATTTAAATGATAAAAAATTGTTCTCATATATCTGATGATAATTTTATAGTTTTAATTCTTTTCTTATTTTTGTCTATATCACTGAGATGAGGTATTATGATTATTTATGTTATTTACATTATTCAGACAGTTATCCTCATTTTCATTGCCATATTCACAACTTTTTATGCTCTGACCTTCTTCGGGTGATTGGAATTTCCAACTGAACCCTTTATTTCATCAACAGGGGTAGATTGTTCTAGTTCCACATGACTTGCCTCTTCCGGATGTCTCAGTTATTTCCCCTTAACTCAAGGAGACATGGTCCAGCAGATAAAAGTGTTGATTAGATCCAGTGACTAGACCCAAAGAGTTGTGAGTTCAGTACCAGGCTACAGCAGAGGTGAACCAAAATACTTGGAGAGTTGAGTTAAAGGGTAATAAATAAGACATCTGGAAGAGGCATGGCACATGGAACTAGAACAATTCTTTTCTTATTTATTGTTTTGTTCCTATTATCATCAATAAAGTAACATTTGATGACAAACATTTTACTCCAACATCCAGTGTAAATATATGTTTATGCATGTATGTTATCTAGGAATGTACCTATGATTGTTGCTTCTTGTTGTGGTGGAGGGATTTGTGTGGTCTAATGACTAAGAACAATGTCATTGGAAGTTCTAGAATCCCTGTAGGGCCACCCTTGGTGGCAAGGTCAAAGACAAGGACTCAGATTAAGCACAACCAACCCCAAAGACCCCAACAGTGGAACAAGCAGATGATGATTACAACAGATCTCAATGGATGAAGAAGGCTACACATGACAGACATGCTACAGAATGTGTCACTCAATATTACAACAGCATCAGTGTCAGTACATTACAGTCTTATAAATGGATTCTGCACATCTCATTCTATATGTACCACAGAGGAAGGTAATAAAATCAAGTGTGTGGGTCACTTGCTGGTAAGTTGAGGTCCACCTTAAACCTATTCATGACATCAGCACTTTCTTCTACTCTGATTTTCTTTCACCTCCAATCATCTCTTGCAAAGACAGGGGGGGGATTGGATGACTGGAGTAGGTTTTGGTGAAACTGGAAGCTTCAAGTCCTGAACATGCATATCAGCAGCAAATGTAGTCATCAACACTATTATCATAAAGGAAAGGATCAGCAATGAACAAATTAAATTCTTGGATACAAGAAAAAGTCAAGGATGAAAATATAATAAAAAATTAAAATTAAACAACTCATATATACCTTGTAGATTCATTTTGAAAATAATCTATTTCATACTGATTTTAATTAAATTATAAAACATATAGATGGACATTAGTCTATAAAATTGCAGCTTTAATAAGTGAAGTAAATAAAAAATGAAATGTTGGCAGTAGAAGAAGATCCATTTAAATGACTTAATATTCCCAGCCATAAATCCAAATGTGGAAAGAACTATTGATATTTTAGCAAAAGTTGCTACTTTCCAAATAGGATACAGAAACAGACATCAATATATTTTGCATTTGCTTCAGTTAAGAAGTAAAATGTCTCAATTTGAAGCTATGTGTCAATTTCCCAAAGAAAAATAAATCTAAATCAAATGTTGTTACTTTTTTCCAAGTTAATTAATTGAATGCTAATCAAAAAACTATACAACACATGTAAAAAATCTCACAAACAGTTTCTTTATATAAAACACTTTTTTCCTGACCATGGATCTCTTCACAGTATATAATCAATTATTACTCCAAATTTTAACCTGCCCTAATAAATACATTCTAGCTATGCATACATACACACACACACACATACATGCACATACACACACACACACACGCATGTATGTGTGTGTTTTCACTGACTTGTGGCTGTATTATAGTATGCATTTCTCCCAAATGATGCAAGAGCCACACCCTCTGCCCCACTATCAGCAGCCTCCATCTTGTTCAGGCTGGATGGTGTCCAAAGTTTTAACTACATACATTATTTTGTATAGCAACAAAGCCATTTCCAACATTAGGTTAGGATGTTGTTCTCTTCCCTTCTTTTTCCCTTTTCTGCTCTCTTTCTTTTTCCTATTCTTTACCCCCATGTTCTCTTTCTTTCTATATTTCCCTTTCTTTGCTTCTCCTTTCTCTTCTTTTCTGCTCTAATTCACATTACGTGTCCCTTTCTTCTCTCTCTCTCTCTCTCTTGCAGTAAAAACCTCAATGGCCCTTATTAAAACAATTTAAACTGACATTTCCTTCATTCAATACATCACACTCACACACACAAGTATACATAAGTAGATACAGATACTTACAAATACACAGACAGAAAATTACATTTGCATATCTGCATGTGAGTGCACATATATATATACACACACACACATCTATATATATATATATATATATATATATATATATATATATAAGGCATTAAAAACTAGAAATGTAGTATTGTAGGCCATGATCTCGATTTATCGAGATGAGACCGCCAGGTTCAACAAAATCAAACCTGCTTCAGTAGGTAAATGTTCGGTCTATCTTCGTTTACCGTGGTTGGGTAAGATTAGTGAATCCTTCGCTAAGCGTATTTCATGTAGTTCACGTGAGTGTTATTTTGCATGAACGTTCGTATTTGTCTTTCAAACTAAGTCCATACTTTCATCTATGTGTAAAGATGTTCTACCCCCACCATATTAACTCTGTTATTTACTATTTCAAATGTAGTTGTGGATGCCACTACATAGGTAGAACAACACAACAGCGGTTGGACGTGAGAATTAAACAACACATTACCTGCGATAATACTAAACAAAAATTTTCTTTGGGCGATACCATTGTAACACGTATGGGTCTTCCGTGCGGATCATTTTATAAAGAATCCAACATGCGATGGATTTCAGTGTGGACTGGTTTTCCGTCTTGGCCAGTTCACTCACTTTTCCATCTTAAGGTGCTGGAGTCACTTTACATCAGGTCTAGGCAGCCTGCTCTTTGCAAACAGAGATTGTTTGCTTGGACTTGCTGTGATGCGATTCTAGCAGCTTGGTTGGTATAATTTTATATATATATATATATTTTTTTTTCCTTCCCTGTCCATTCATTCATGTCACCCATGACAGACTTTTCCTTTTCCTCATAATCTAAATTCCCCGTTAACAGTTCTGATGAGAGGGACGAAACCAGTCGACTGTTGTGTTTTATTTTAAACTTATCATGGCCTACAATACTACATTTCTAGTTTTAATGCCTTCATACGCTTTTTGTACCGTTTCAAACCTATTTAAATATATATATATATATATATATATATATATATATATATATATATATATATATATATATATATATATATATGAAGAAATATAGTCTTAAAATGTGCTATATTTATGGGATAAAGTGCTCAATATCAGAGATAGAGTGTGTGTGAGGATTGCACCTAGCATGAAACAGACTGTCACCTCTAAGTGTTGACTTCTATGTTCACTTATATATATATATATATATATATATATATATATATATATATATAGTATCTGAGTATACCTGTCTAGTAGGGTGGCTAGTCAATCCCTATTGCAGACACCTGCTCAGGCACATTTGGGTTTGTTCAACACCCACGGAGCCCACGTGTGTTTTATACAACAACTATGCTGAGTAGAACTTAGTTACAGATTCTGGAAGAAAACGCATAATCTAGTCTGAACAAGTCCAGAATACTCAAACCCTCAGTCATGATGACTTGGGATTTTGTGCTAGCACAGCCATCGACAAATACCAATTCCATTTTGGGTCAACTGGTTGTTTGATTTTCAGGCATTTTCCAAACCTTGTGCATAATGGGATTTTGTTCTCCATGCTTTCCTGACAAATCAACCATTGGTGAGATTCAAACCTGCATCTCATCTTCAAAGGGTCAAGTAGATCGGTTCCCAGGAAACCAACAACCCAACAACAGCACATGAGATTTGATTATAGTGGTGAAGGTTTTGTGCAGGACCATCCACACTTTTTGAAGGGCCGAATACAGAGACCTGGTGCACTACATGCCACAGGGTCCCCAAACGACCCTCCGCAGGTTTTGAATTCAGAGTTGTCCTTCTCCTAGACCAGATGCCATCCAAGGCTATAGAACCCAGTCTGTCCTGCTATTTACCCATAGCTGGAGGGAGAAGAAGAGGATTCACACCTTTCCCAAGGGTATTAGCACATAAGTGAATGTAATGGATTCGACTGGAATTCAAACTCAGCTCTCCGATTTCTCAATCCAAGCCGCTATCCATTATGCCACCATGCCTCCTCAACAAAAAAAAAAAAAAAAAAAAATATATATATATATATATATATATATATATATATACATATATATATATATATATATATATATATATATATACACTACTAGTCAAAAGTATTTGTCCACCCTCAAAAATTTATATTTCTCATCCTAAAAATTTTATTTTAATGAAACAAGTTATATAGGCAGCAATCTTTCTTTCATGTTTTCACTGAATGTGATGAGCAAGGAAAATGTTTTATTTAAAATTTGCTATACTTATAAAAGAAGACTGTTTCCTATCAAAGAGTGTTTATTGTATAGATATAAACAATGTTGATATAGGAATCAACACAGCATGGTTTCTGTCAATTTCACACTTCTGTCTTATTTTCAGCACAACTGCCTAGTTCCTTTGGCCAGCTGTAAATACTTGGTTTGAAAATTAAATTACCTTTATTTGATCCCCCCCACCCAACTTTTTTATTTATGTTTGTTTGTGTATGTAAAATATTGATATTTGGTTTGTGTTGTTTTATTAGTTTATTTATGCTGAATTTTGGTGAGCCTGATTATTTATATAGAGGTACGTGTGTGTGTGATTGCTTGTATCTTTCTTTGTATGTTATGCTTCCTTTGTGTGTTTTTTTATATGTTTGTCTGTCTTTATTCTTCCCTTTATTCTTATTTTATTCTTTATTTTTATTTTCCTTTTTGAATTTTTTCTTCTTTATTTCTTGTGTGAATATCTGTCCTTAGATTTGTGTGCTATTATATTTGATTATATATACGTGTTTGCGTAATAGAATGTGAATGTGTTTGTCCTGTCATTTAAAAATTGCCTTCCATATCTACCTCCTTATTTGAATAACTAAATCATGGAACTATTAAGGTGAGGTGGAAGAACATCTTTGCACATGGATGGAAGAACAGGTTTAGCAGAGAAAACCACATGTGTATTAGTAGCAAAGTATTTATGGCATGTTTTGTATCACTAATAATATGTGTGTGCATGTATGTGCAGAGATCATACATACACACGCACATATATATATGAAATATATGACACCATTTATAGAAATTTTACATTAACATGTATGATTGTATAGTCAAAAAAATAATTTTATTCCACAAGAAGCAAAATCTACATTAACAAGATAAAACATAATTCCCAGAGAGCCATATCCTCCTGCTGTCTGTTTAAACTGACATTTTCTTGTTTCTATATACCTAAACTCTAATTATATACTATAAAATTAGAAAGTGAAAATTTAATCTGAAATAAAAAAATGAAAAAAAGAGGAGTCAATTTAAACTGACTCCTTTTTTTCTCATTTTTTTAGTTGGATATGGGTTAAACATCTGAACCCTTTATCTTCATTTTAATTGTATCTTTATAGAAATTAAATTTTAAAAAAATTTAATTCAGTCATTATTTTATCTGAAAATGCTGGAATAGTGGCAAAACATTTAAATGTAAAAATTCTTCCATATTCTATAGATATTATTATATTCTATAACACCACATTCTCAACTAAACTTTATGAACAAATGTTCATCTATGAAACCATTGCAGAGGAGATTCAGTGTGGCTTCTGAATTCGGATCCCCTTATGATTACAAAAGTTAAGATGATGATGATGATGTTTTATATATATATATATATATATATATATATATATTATTTTCACATAGAGTGTATTTGTAAAGGAACAAAATGAATAAAAAGACAAAAAGAAAATCTATTCTTAGCCAACATGTTTCATCCACTGAGAGATTTTATCAAAGCAAATGTAGGATTTATTTTGTTGCACATGTTTAGATACAAAAGCAAGGATATCATTGGTTTATCAAGGCTTTTAAATTTGAGAACATTCATAAATGTTCATCAGGGGATTGAAAAGTCAGTCAAAATATATGGAAGACAGAAAGTGCCATAATTCAAAGTCTGGTAAGGCAAACATAAGTGAGGAATATTCAAGAAATTTTTTTTTTTAATAAATGAATATTGTATAAATTGTGATCAAATATGGTTTGGGATGGACATATGTGCTGTACATTTTCAAAAAACATGAGGTAATGGAATGTCTTTTGATTTTTCAACATATTTGTAGTCATGTATGTTGTCTTGGGAAAGCAATCATTCTTTCAGGAATAGTGAGATTGGAAAGAAACGGTTTTTGAAGCATGACATATATAGGTGTATAGTTTGGGTGTGGAACATTCTGGATATGTATTTATAGATATAGATATATACAAGTATTATGATTTTAAACTAGAATCTTTTATCATAATTTTCTATATCACAAGTCAGCATTTAAATTACAAGATCTTTATTGACTAAATTTTTATTGAACAGACTGTCCTACAATACTGACTTTATATATTTATGATGTAATGGAATAACCTGTCACCCTTATAAGTGACTACACTATAGGTACTAACTACTTATAAGTATCTGTTAGTCAACAGACTACAGAGACTAGCTGCAATCTGTTCCAGCTAAACGGTTGAATTCTCTGCCTGAAGGCAGAGAGGAACCCAAACGAGGCTCCGTCGAAGGGCAGAGTCTCATTGGAGGAGGTTGACTGACCCTGAACCCATTTATACAGGTTTGAAAGGGAATATTTTTGGCCAAGTTTACAGGCTCAGAGAACCCATGTTAAACCCGGCCTTGTGCCACATGCAACCGTCTTGGTGGGGGTGGCTAAATATACTAGCTGAGATTTGCTGAGTATGATGCAGACTTACATGAGAACTACTGACCTTCCAATAGTAGCACTCACTAATGGATTGACTTGCGACGACCTTGTGCATAACTGTTACCTTTATTCTTATTGTACTGGTTTTTTACAATAAACCTTTACTTATTTTATCCACCTTGTTTTTTCAAGTATATATTCCTATTAGCACAGAATATAACAATTTATTG